TGGGCAGGACAGGAACTACCATGCCTGTTTCAAAGGTAGTAGTCAGGCCTCTGAAGACCAGCTTCCTGTCCAAGGTCACAGAGGAGGTTGAGGCTTAGGGTGTAACTAGGGAGAGGCACAAGGCTAGAGGGGGGCTAGTTCCTCCTGTCAAAGTCAACAGAGTCCAATAGAAAGCTGAGCCCTGAACCTTTTCCCATCCAGCACCATAAACCTGACTTAAAAACCAGGTTATCACCATGATCTTTATGAGGCCATAGCTTTTGCACCCCACCCATGGAGGCCCTAGAGAGGTGTGTGAGAGCAGCCCAAAGGGAGAGCTTCCAGAACGAAGAGTGTCCCACCCAGGGAGCCAAGGGGAAGAAGAGGCCCAATAAACAGCCGCTCCCTGAGATAAGGGGCTGTCAGGGAGACAACCGCCAGGTGGCTGGGGGCTTCTCCCCTTTCCCATGCCCACCTCTGTCTGAGACAACCAATTCCCAGTGGGCAATTGAGGCCACTGAGGCCCAGAAAGGCAAGAGGTCAAGGTCACAGGGGAGTAGAGACCATGGTGGGCAGGATCTGTGATTTCAGCCAATCTGGGACTTTTTACCAAGGCTCCAGTGTCTTCAGGCGAGGACAACTGGGGGTGTCACATCAGGGTGGTTAGGTCTCTGATGAGGGGTTCTACCTAGGGGTAAGGGCCAGGGGAGAGACTGCATGGAGAGGCCAGAGGAGAAAGAGGAACCAGATATTTGTTTAAGCAAAATCCCCAGATTAGGGGAGGTGGGAGAAGAGACAGTCAGGCCATCTTCCAGTGACCTTGGTGTTGTGGCCTCAGGCAGGTGACTTCAATTCTCTGAGTTCCACCTGCTTCATCTGTGAAATGGGTTCATCCTCCCTGTGGGTGAAGCGGAGTAATATACGCAAAGAACCTGGCATGAGGCCTGGACTTAGTAAATAGTAGTGGCATGACTGCTGTTATTATTACTCCAATGAAAGTGTAGGGTCGGCCACGTAATCTCGGAGAGAGGCAGCACCAGAGCACTGGGCTGCGAGCCAGAAGACCCAGGTCTAAGTCCAGTACAGCACCCAGTGGCTGACAGAACTTGTAATAAAAACCCTTTCTGGGGCCCTCCCTAGTGGCACAAGAAGTTAAAGCATAACACTATGAAGATATCCACAGCCACTACAGCACGAGTTTCATCCCCGGCCAGAGAGCTGACCCACAGACAGCAGACCTCTCCTGTCTCGCCCATGCTCCCTCAGGAGTGTATTTCAGTCAATTTGCCTGTTCTGCTCCCCACTCTGTCTCTGGTGAATCCTCCCACCCCCTGCACCTCTGGCCTGTACCCCAGTTCTCCTATGCATAAATAAATCAATCTTTAAAAAAAAAAAAAAAAAAACCCTTTCCATAGATCTCTGGGCCTGTGTCCCTATCTGTAGATCAGTTGGCTGTCCATGGTTATTCGTGGTCAGCTATGATGTCCTGCTTACCTACCCTAAGCATACCTGAGTGACATTTGGAGGATCAGCAGGGCTAGACGGAGGATCCCTTGAGCACTTCGGCTGCTCAGTGAGAAAAGCCAGTGGCGACCCTGGTTCAATGCCCGGCCTGGTGCCTGTGTGACCTTGGTAAGGTACTTGGCTCTTTCTGTGCAGCTTTTTCTCATTCAGCAAATGAGGTCAACTGCCCCCACCCTTTCCAAAAACCAGGATTCAGAGGGGTGCAGCGCCCACAGGAACGGGAGGATGTGCCCTCTCCCCTGGCAAGGACAGCATGCAGGGGACCAAGGGAACAGCCGGCTCCCCAGACTTGTGCTGTCTCCCTGATGAGGGAAATGGTTTCTGAGCACCTAGAAAGTCCTCCATCTCTCAGCTACCACACAGGTCCTGGATGCTGTTTCCTCACTCCTAGGCTTGGCTCAGTTGTGCTACTTGTCTCCGGTGAGCCTCCCCTCTGGCTCGCCCACACACCTGTCAACAGGTCCCCCGCACCCTCCTCCCCACTCCAAACCCTTGATAACAGCTGTCCCCATACATTATGGGCCTTCCCCTCCCGCAGTACTCCCCCCCCCCCCCCCCCCCCCCCCCCCCCCCCCCCAGTTTCCAGTCCCAGAGAACCACATGTCCGCTCCGGCCTGTGTTCATACTGACCCCTCTGACCACAGCCCCTTCCCCGCTCTCCGGGGCTGGGGCTCCTGTGTCACTTCCTCTTGCAAGGCTTCCAGGTCTCCCTCTGGGTCAAGTCTCCAGATTCCCAGCTCTCACAGAAGATCTGTGTGTGATTAGTTGATTTAGCATCTTGTGTGTGATTAGTTGATTTGCAACTGCTCCCTCCTTTTTCTCCCCCCAGCGTCCAGTTTATTAGAATTCCAGGGACAGGGTCCCACCAGTAGCTCACAGGATCAGCCCAAAGGAGGAACGTTCAGACACCTTTGTCAAGTGAATGAGCAAAGGAGCAAACAGATGCCTACTCAGCCCATACCTGCAAGCCCTCCATGTGGGTCTGAATTAGCATTTTCTTGGCATTAGAGAGCGCCAGGCTTTCCATCGCCAAGACAGGCGTCCCCTCGGATCACCCCTCACTGGGCCCTGTGATGGTGAGCTCCTTTCCTCCATCGTGACAGCCCATTTTACTATGGAGAGCTGTGATGTGGGTGGGCTGGATTCTCTATCTGTACCTACAGCTTTCTCTCTGGGGTCCCAGAGCCTGACCCACACACAAACCAGAACTTCAAGGCCCCTCAAGGGCTCCTCTTCTTTTTGAGCAGCTCCTGGAGAGAAGAGCCCATTCCCTGAGGGCACTCTCTCCCCTCTTGGGATAGTTCCTTATTTTCCACCCACCCCTTGAAAGACTGGTTCTGGGCCAGGCTCAGACAACCTCAGCTCAACCTGTCTTCCAGCTGGCTTCCTGAATGGGGAAGGGACCTTCCCTGCCAAGGCAACTGTGTGCATATCCATGCCCAGAGACCACCCAGGCGGCAGCCTTCCCCCTCTCACACTCCTCCTGCTGTCCCGTGGGCAAGCACAGCCCCTTTCCTTTCTGGGCCTCCGTGCTTCCATGTGTAAAATGGAAACAGCTCCCCTGGGGACGGAGTATCTTACCCACCTGCTGCTAGATCACCCATCCCAACTGGAACCAGCTTCATGGGTGGGTCACCTGTGCACACACCAGGCCAGGGTTTAGAAGAGGTGTATGCTTGGCTGAATGTTCTGCTGTCACCATCTTGCAATCCTTAATAGTTTTTGAACAAAATGACAATCTCACATTGTCATTTGTATGTGTCCTGTACATTATATCTGGGTCCTGGCACATCTGTCTAATGCTGAGGCACCTTCCTGATGTCCAAGTCCAGGCCCGTGCACCTGCTGAACGCACATGTCACCTGGGGTGCCCCATGGCACAGACCACCTGGTGTGATGGTAGTGTTTTCCTTGGGACATTGAGCTCCTCGAGGGCAGGGATCAGGCCCTTCTGGGGGCCTGCGGATCTGACTTGTACCCCACTCAGGGCTGGGTATGCAGGAGGCACTGAGTCATTAGGCAATAAATGAATGGCTAAAGCAGAGGGGTAGCTGTGGGAAGACCTGCCCAGATAATGGGGTAACCCTAAAGAGGGACAGTTTGATAGAAAAGACCCTGATTCAGCCTAGCTTCTGCAGGCCACGTGCCTCCCTGCACCGCTACAAGACTGCCAAGAAATGTCAGAGGATCAAACCCCTATTCTCTGACAGGGGCTTCTGTGTAGCTCCTTGGCACCAAACCAACCCCCTCTGGGATGGGAGAGGCATGTGGGCTCCTGATCCTTCATGAAGCCTTCCTCAAATCCCTCAACTTTGTTTCCTACTACTCCCAGTTCACTGGAGCCCCTCAAACTGTCCACCCCAAACCCTGTCACTTATATAACTATAAAGTCTGCCAGTCTTTGGGGGGAAGGTGCATTAAAAATTCCATGGGGTCCCAGATATAATAAAGAGACCAGAGCTTTTGGGTCTTGGTTCACCCAAAGTAATTATTAAAAAGACTTTTTTTTTTGTTCAACTAGAGTATTTTGAGAATGAACGGTGTGTTAGATAATACCCAGGAATTTGTGTTAATTTTGTTAGATGTGATAATGGTACATTGTGTAAGAAAAAGTGTTTTAGAGATGCATTGTGAGGTAGGTAGAGGTAAAATGGCATGATGTTTGAAATTTGTTTTAGAATACTTAAGCAAAACAAGGAAATAGGTATAAAAAAATTAATAATGGTTGAAACTAGGGGATGGATATAGTAATATGAAGTGGTTCACTCACAATTCTACTTTTGTGTATGTTTGAAATTTCTCGTTAACATAAAGGAAAGCCAAGAGCTGTCAATAGAGTTGTGAAAATTTTTCTAGGATGTCCCACACATTGCCCCTACCCACCTCCTCAAGAGCCAGCTCCTTGAACATCTGCAGACTGCTGTATGTGCATATGTGCATTTTCCAGGAGAAATACTCACAGCTTCCATGGAGACTTTGAGGGGTCGTGACCCATACCCAGACAACACCACCCACCCCCCATCTTTCCTGGCAAAAGATTTAGGGCCTGCTACCTTACAGAGAAGAAACCTGTTTGAAGCTGACTTGGCTCTCCTTCCAGCGAGCTGATCACAGCGGCTAGTGTTACAGGCCTGGGTCGGCTGGGCCTTGGGTCCCCTTTTCTCTACCTGTGCAATATAGTCACCGCGCAGGCGACAGTGGGAGGACAAGGTGCTTGGGTCACTAGACCACTAGGTCTCTGTCTGTTATATGCTCGCTCGGGACATGCCCTGGGCGCCCCCACCACTTCCCGGGCCCCCAGTCCGTCCACCTCCCTCTCGGGGCAGCAATTTGTCTCCTTTTGAACCCCCCGCCCCGGACGGGATTCCCCCTTTGATTCGCAGCCGGGAGGCTCCCCCAGCTTTGAAATGCAAAGCCGCCTGGGCTGAGGCCGCGGGGCCCGAAGCTATAAAAGGCCTGGGTGGGGCGGGCGGCGGGCGGCCAGCGAGTTCAGGTGAGCTGTGGCTCGTCGGGGCGGCCGGTGGAGGCGGCTCCCGGGCCCAGCATGCGCGGGGGCCCCCGCGGCCACCATGTACGTGGGCTATGTGCTGGACAAGGATTCCCCCGTGTACCCCGGTCCCGCCAGGCCTGCAAGTCTCGGCCTGGGGGCGCAAGCCTACGGTCCCCCGCCCCCTGCGCCCCCACAGTACCCCGACTTCACCGGCTACTCGCACGTGGAACCGGCCCCCGCGCCCCCGGCGGCCTGGAGCGCACCCTTCCCGGCTCCCAAGGACGATTGGGCAGTCGCCTATGGCCCGGGCCCCGCGGCCCCGGCCGCCAGCCCAGCGCCACTGGCGTTTGGGCCACCTCCGGACTTCAGCCCGATGCCTGCGCCCTCTGGGTCTGGCCCGGGCCTCCTAGTACAGCCTCTTGGCAGCCCGGGCGCACCAGCCTCGCCGGGAGCGCAAAGGCGGACACCTTACGAATGGATGCGGCGCAGCGTGGCACCAGCGGGAGGTGGCGGTGGCAGTGGTAAGGACCCCTCTCTCGCCCTGTGCCTCCTACGGTTGCACTTCTGGGCACCAGCAGGTGCTGGGGCAAGGCTGGCCCTCCCCTGTCACATCTCTGCCCTGGCCTCGCCCACCCTCTCACCCCGGGGAGTATTGGCTCAGCATCTCCATTCTAACGCCAGCCTTCCATACCCTTAGTAAATCTGTCTTAATACAAACAGGGAAACTGAGACCTCAGGAAGTGAAGAAACGGGACCCTGGGTTGTGAGGCAGGGACCTGACTTTTATCCCTAGTGATCAATCTGTTCCTTTCACCCCATTACAACCCCAAGCAGAGCTTCATACCACCACCACCCACCACCACCCCCAAGGACCAGTGAGCAGATTGTTTGAACATGGGCAGGTCACTTTCCTCTCCTGGTCTGTTCCTAGCTGTGCTGTGGACAGATCAGTGGTGGGTCATAGCCTTTGAACTAAAAAAGAGCCCCCTTGGGTTAAATTGGGAGGGGGTCCCCACCTAACCATCCCAGGGCCTTCCCTGAACTCTTGACCCTGGGGGAGGGGAAGCTGGAGCAGTTGGGAAGGTGGCTGCTGTTTGGCTCCTGAGCCTGTGAATCTCCTGCCCCCAGGCAGGGCTCTCTGATCCACCCTCTTCAAAGGCAGGGGATGGGGGCAGGACAAAGGCCCTGCTTGAATGAGGGGCAGCCTGACCTCCTTTATAGGTCCCCTGCTTTGTCATGTAACATTGGCTGCTCCCTGGCTCTGTAGTGACTCCTGTTGGCGGGGAAGTGAACACCATGCTCCATTGTCCTGGCTGTGTCCAGCTTGTCCTGACAAAGGCCACCTGGCCTTGGGGGCGGGAAGTCGACCTGCCCACCCTTTGATGTCCCGCTCCTCCTTCCCTTCCTCCAGCTGAGAGCGCCTGGGGCTTCCCGCCTCCTCTCTCTCCTCTCTCTACCTTCGCACACTCACCCTGGGCAGATGCTGGGGAGGGGTGATCAGTAGCTACAGATGTAGCTGTAATGTACCATTTTCTGGAGAGTCCCAGGGACACAGACCTCCTGGGCGCCTCAGAGGACCAGGCTTACGCTCCAGTTTCGCCACTCATTTCTGAAACCTTGGCTAAATATTAACAGCAAATATTTATGGAACTCCTACTAATAGACCAGGCGCCTGCCTGTATTAACTCATTTAATTCTGACCACATTGTCAGAGGTATTATCATCACCTCCAGTTTTAAGAGAAAGAAACTATGGTGTAGAAGTTTTGACACTACCGCAAAGAAGCAGAAGCAGTGAAGAACAGGGCTGATTTGAACCAAGGCTGGCGGCGTTAAGCCTGTGCTCTAATTCGCTTCTCTTTAATGGGTTCTTCACTGGGTCTCGGTTTTACTATCTGTGAAATGAGAGAGAAGGATCTGGTGCCTTTGTCTGAGTTGCCAAAAGGTCCCCTTTGGTGGAAATGTCTCCTTAAAGTGTTGCCTATTTGGGCATACAATTTTGGGGGTTCTCAGAGTCCCCAGTTTTAGCCATAAGTCCTGGCTGAGACGCCTGCATCCGATTCTATGCAAGGGGCTGTCTGGGACTGCAGGCCCTGCAGGAAGGTCCTGGGGAAGGAAGCATTTTCTTGTTCTTGCTTTCTGTTGGGCAGGCCTCTAGGAGATGGCTGGGAAGGTTCCTGGGAGAGGGGCCATCTCTGTGTGGGGGAGACAGTGGGCCTGTTGGGGTCCAAGGAGTGGCAGGCAGCCTGGGGGAGTCCCCAGGCTAGGTGTTGTCAGGTAGATCAGCTCTGTGGACACAGGAGCTGCCAAACCCAGCTCAGCTCTGGGCTTCAAGGGCATTTGGCAACTGTTGTTCCCAGGTAGACAGGAGTCCTGAGACTAACTCCTCTCCAAAACAAAAACCTTTCCCTCCTTTCTCCCAGCAAACCTCCCAAGGGAGGTTTGGGATTTCCCCAGGCTCCAGGGATGTGACTGCCCCAGGACACAGGAGCCTCAGCCTTGGAAGCTGCAGCCTGGCTCTCCCCTCCTTGGCCTCAGTTTCTTCTCTGAGTAATGAAGATACAGGGTTTTCCAGGGGCATTTCCTGTGCACTGCTGTTGTCTGAGGCAGCAGAAGAATGTTCCATACACCTCACCCCACCCCCAAATGTCTCTGGCTATAGGCCCGTGACCCTTCTTGGCCAATGCCAACTCCCTTCCTTCTGACCCTCCAGCATTCTGGACTGTCTGCAACTGGACAGTTAAGGAACAGACATTCGGATGGGGATTGAAGCCCAGACCCCATAAGGAATGTTGTAGTTTCATACAAGCAGAGGTGGGGCTGGGATAGATGCTGGATGAGTCAGTTTAAAATTTTCCAGTGGTTTCCTGTCACATTTAGGGCAATGTCTACTCTCCTTTCTGAGTTGGACAAGACTGCTAATCAACCCTGCCAGCCCTCTCTTCTCTCAGCAACTCACCCCTTCCCTGCTATGTTGCAGCCACACCTGTCTTCTTTCAGTTCCTCAGAAATGCCACCCCTGGCTGGTCTCACGCACATGCTGCTCCCTCTTCCCAGAATACTCCTCCCCTGACTTTTGTAGGCCTACTTCCGTCTCATCTTCTTGTGTTCATTTAATGGTCACCTCTTCAGGGAGGTCCTCCATGATTTCTCAAAGTACTTCCCCTGCATACCCACCATCTTTCTTTCAGAGCATTATCCACCATCTCAGTTTACTCACACACTTATTTGTGTGTTGTCTGTTGTCCCACCAGCATTCTGCAATATTCAGAACCCTCTTGAGACCCGGTTCCAACCCATGACTGGAACCATCCTCTCATCAGTTTGCCTAGATACAGAGATGCTTATCAGGGTAGTTCAGAGCTAGGCTTTGGATTGCATTTCTCTTAGAAGCTACATAGCCTCAGTATGTTAACTTGCATCAGTTCTCTGAGCCTGTTATTTCCAGTGTAACTTTAGGCAAATAGGACTGCTATTGAAGCAACAGTGCCGGAAAGCACAGCCCTGAGCCAGGCACACAGTAGGTACCTTGTGTCTATGACCTTCATGTTTATGACCAACTCTGTCTGTCCCCAGAGTGCCCTAGGGTACACCTCACACTCCTTCTCTGCAGTCTGGTTCCCTCAACCTGAGCTGTCTGATCCCTGTCCCCCTTTATTTATTTGTTTGTTTTATATAATAGTTTACTTTTACATAGTTTTATGCCTTTTTCCATCTCAGTTGTAATCCTCGTGGGCTTCCCACCACCAATTCACCCATGTACCCACTCTCCTTTTATTTTCCTATTTAAATGCTGCTTTCTTTAAGACTATCTCTCTCTCTCTCTTTTTTTTTTTTTTTTAAGATTTATTTGTGCATACAGAACTGGGGTACAGGCCAGAGGCTCAGGGGCAGTGAGAGGCTTCACCAGAGACAGAGCGGGGAGCAGAACAGGCAGATCGACGAAGTACACTGCTGAGGGGAGCAGCGGGCGGGTCAGGAGAGGTCTGCCGCGCCATGTGGTCACCTCCGGGGCAGGCGGGGATCGAACTCATGTGGAAGCGGCCCTAGGTTCTCAGCGCTGTGCTTTAACCCGCTGCGCCACCAGGGAGGGCCTCTCTCTCTCTTTTTTTTAAAGATTTATTTATTTATGCATATAAAACTGGGGTACAGGCCAGAGGTGCAGGGGGTGGTGAGAGGCTTCACCACAGACAGAGTGGGGAGCAGAACAGGCAGATCAGTTAAGTATACTGCTGAGGGGAGCAGCGGGTGTCAGGAGTCTGCCATGCCATGTGGGTCACCTCTGGGACTAGGGATTGAACTCACACTGAAGCAGTTGGCCTAGCTTGCAGTGCTGTGTCCTAATTCATTGTGCCACCAGGGAGGTCCAAGACCACCTCTTCCAGGAAGCCCTCCTGTATTTCTTCCTTCTCAAACACTGCACAAAACCGTGTTTTAACAACATTTACCATGGCCCGTGTGGTATATCCCTGCTATCTACCATCTGTTATCTACTCTCAAGGACCAGTACTAGCCAGTTGACTGCCAGCCTTTCTACAATGACCTGCCCATTGCAGGAGCTCACGTGGAAACTGATAACCATGGCACTGGCCAAGTGCCAGGCACTCAGAATTCTGTATGGGTGATCTCACTAAGCCTCATGATGCTAAGAGGTGTGAGGATCTATTATTAACCTTCTTTTGCTAATTGAGTTAATATAGCTCAGAGAGGGTAAGGTATTTACCCAGCCTCACACAGCTGGGACATGACAACACTCAGCTCACACCCAGACAGCAAGTCTAACAAATAAAGAAACACACTTGGACCTGAGCTTGCAATCCAGACCAGGTGAAGAAAAAGGAGGCCAGTGCTTGGAGAGTGGGGGGAGGTGGGCCCAGCAGGGGCTGAACTGCTTAATATTGGTTGTCAAGGCAGAAGCTACATTTGACACCTCCTTCCTCAGATGTAGCTGGGAAGGGGAATGACCCAGTTAGAAGGTGGTGGAAGCTTTTTTTGGTTGCGTGTTCTCTCTCCCCCCCCCCCCTTCTTTTGCAGTTATTGCTTCTGAGGGCTTGGGGGATGTTTCTGAGGTCCAAAATGGATCTGTTAGCAGCAGGGTCTGCCTGTCAGTGGGAAGTTGTCTTAATGGACTGGCCTCTCAAATTTCAGCCCTGAGATTTGACAACAACACTTTCTCTGGAGTCAGTGCCATCATGGTAAACCCTCTAGCTTGTAGGGGGCACCCCAAATATAGATCCCTCTGCATCCACACTGACAGAGTAAGCATTCATGTTAACCGAGACTGACAGGTCAAGCTCACCCCCTCGAGGGACTTCCCTTAGCTTGAAATCAAATCCAAACCCCTCACCCCAGGCTCGGAGCTCTGCTGGCTTCTTTAGTCTTACCTCTCTCTGTCTCAGTCAGTCAGTCAGTCAGTCAGTCAGTCAGTCAGTCAGTCAGACAGACAGGCAGCAACACTTTCTGAGTGTCTCTTCTGTGTAAACATTCTCTTAGGTGCTGGGATTCTAGTCAGAACATGGCAGACAGGGCCCTGGGACCTTTGCACGTGCTTTCTTCTCTTCCTAGAATATTTTCCCCCGTTTGTGATGTACAAGCCTCCTTCTCGACCTCAGGTCTTGGCATAACTTTCCCCTCCTCCAGGAAATGGCCCCTAAACTAAAGGAGGATTCTACCTCTCCCACCTTAGCCCTGCCCTCAACTCCACACTTGCCTCCTTTCATATTAACCAATTTGTAATGACCTCATTTGATTGTTCATTTTCAACCCCCCCTCTGTGAAAGAGGGAATGAACTAGTCAACAAGTAATGCCTATTAATCAGAATTAATATCAGAGTAATGAGAACATTCATTAGCGCTCTTGAACACTCAGCGTGTGCTCAGCACTTTTTCTCAAAAATACCTACTTCTGATACCAGAGCAACATTTTTGCACTAGATTAGTAGCTTTGATGAAGGCTATGGAGCAATGGGGCTGGACAGATTCTCAGGTTGATGGACTGGATGCGGGGAACAAGGGAGACAGGACTGGGAGGCGCTGTGTGAGCTTCTGGCCTGGGTGGCTGGAAGTGGAGCGGCCACCCTCGGGCTGAGGAAGACCAGGAGGCAGGAGGCCTGTGTGTGCCAGGCCCTCTGTAGGTCAGGTAAGCAAGCTGGCCTGGTCCCACTCTTTCAGCACATACAGGGTGCCAGGCACAGCTGGGGGGCATTCATCAAGGTCTGCAATGAGTCGGAACAGGGCTAGAGTGTAAACTCCCTTGCTATACTGTCACCCCAATGTGAGAAGCCAGGACCCATGCTTGTGGATGATTAGGCTGGGACCTTATTTCCAGCCTAGAGGAGCATGGGCAGGGGCCCAGAAACTCCACCTGGAAACAGCTTAGAGACCTAAATCATGAATGCTGGAAGACTTGAAGGAAAGCAGTGACTGTTGACATGTCTTAAAGGAGCTGTTCTGGGCCAAGGACACCCATTATTTTTTTTTAAAAGATTTGTTTATTTATGCATACAGACTGGGTACAGGCCAGAGGGGCAGGGGTGGTGAGAGGCTTCACTAGAGACAGAGTGGGGAACAGAACAGGCAGACTGACGAAGTACACTGCTGAGGGGAGAAGCGGGCGGGTCAGGAGAGGTCTGCTGTGCCATGTGGGTCACCTCTGGGGCAGGGATCGAACTCATGCTGAAATGGCTTTAGCTTCTTAGTGCTGTGCTTTAACCTGCTGCACCACCAGAGAGGGTCAACACCCATTATTTTTGGCAAGAAAAAAAAGCTAGGAAGATTGTCAATGGGTGGTAGGTACAGTTAGAGGTGCTTTGCAGGTAGCGCCAGCACAGTCTGCTCAGGGCTGCTCTGTGGATGTTGGCATCTGACCTCATTGGTGGTTTGGTCTAGAACTTTCTGTGATGATGCCATGTTCTGTATTGATACTGCCTGTGTCTATCAAACCCTTGAAACTGAATTTTTATTTTTTTCTTAAGAGGGCAGGTTTATTAGGAAAAGAAGAAAGAGAAGGAGAGCACCGTAGAGTCACAGGCAGGCAGGAGAGCTGCTGAACTGAATTTTTAATTTCATTTACTTTCAATTTAAATAGCTACATGTAGCTAATCGCTGTCCTAGGGGAAGGCCCTGGAAAATCCCTCCCCAGAGTTTGTAAGTTCATCTATTCTGGATGGGGCCCCTCCTCCTGCCTCTTGTCTCTAGTCATTTCACTCTCGTCACCGTCTTCATCATCACTACCACATTTTACTACTAGAAGCCTGTTAAATAGATGACCACATGTAGTCTCTGCAGCTCTGTGTACAAGGGAGGCATCATGTCCTCATTTTACATAGTAACTGGGGTTCAGACAAGTTCTGTGACCTGCCTCAGTCCTCACTGCCAGCACAGGGTCGGGCACCCATCTCTCTGCTGACCACAGTCAGGTGGGGGGAGCCAAAAGGAGCAGGCAAGGATGGCATAGAGGTGGCCTGGGAGGAGGAAGCTACAGAGATGGTCGGGGGTGGGGGCCTGTGATCAGAAAGAGTATGCCAGTGGCGGCGGGGAGAGAGTGGGGAGAAGTCTACTAAGGCTGCAGGGTCCTGTGAGGGGCTGGTCAGGCCATCCTTCTCTAGCCCACCTTCATGCCAGCATCACCTCAGCTGCAGAACCAAAGTGAGGGGCTGTGGCAGCAGCCTGTGACAGGCAGTCAGCTAGATCAAGGACCCAGCTGTGGTCCAGCAGTGAGCTTCTGACTCAGGAAGGACATCTGTCCAGTGTCCATCTGGCCAGGTCGGACTGCCAAGCCCCGGTAAAGATGGGGAAACAGGCCCACACTGAGCATCACATGCCCAGCTGGTGACTAGGCCTGGTCTCCCCACTCCAGGCCAGTGTGCCCCGTGCCCTGTGACTTCCCACCAAGCAACATTCCTCCCTCTCCCAAGGGATCCCTCCAGCATCTGCTTCCGCAAATAGCTCATGTCATGTCTCTCCAGAGCTGCCCTTTACAAGCTGCTGTCACATCCCTAACGCAAAGATGTTCAGTCATTTGTCAAGTCCTTGACTTGCAGATGGTCAGACGTGGGCCCTGGTCCTTATCGAGCCTTTAATTGCTGCACAGAACTTCTAGCATTTCTAGGCCCTAGGAGTGGACTCCAACCCTCATCTATTGCACAGGAGAAAGTGAACCCAGAGAGAAGAGCTTAATGAAAACCACACAGATGGCACAGAACTGGGCCGGGACCTACAACTCTGCCTGGTTTAGAATCCTGCAGTGGGCTTGTGGAAGATGGCAGGAAGATTTGGGCGCAGCAAATCTGGGGTGGAGCTTGGGCATAGGTTTTTTTTTTTTTGTAATTTATTTATTTATGCATACAGAGCCGGGGTACAGGCCAGAGGTGCAGGGACGGTAAGAGGATTCACCAGACAGAGTGGGGAGCAGAACAGGCAGAATGATGAAGTACACTGCTGAGGGGAGCAGCGGGCGGGTCAGGAGAGGTCTGCCGCACCATGTGGTCACCTCCGGGGCAGGCGGGGATTGAACTCATGAGGAAGTGGCTTTAGCTTCTTAGTGCTGTGCTTTAACCTGCTGCGCCACCAGGGAGGGCCTGGGCATAGGTATTTTTAACAGACATGTGTGCATGCATACGTGCGTGTGTGAATTGCTTTGTGTGTGCTGGGGGACTTTTGATGTAGTTATTTGATCCTGGACCCCACAGGGAGGTGTCATGGGTTGAGTGGGGAGCTCAAGGCTGGATTTGTGTTCCAGGCCCTGAAGACCAGGCAGTGTCACCCTGCAGGGCCACAAACCCAGCAGGAAGAGGGCAATGAAGTGTGGAGCTCGAGGCACTCATTTTTCCTGGAGTCACCCACCTCGCCCTGGGGGAGAGGCTGAACTCTGTCCTGGCCTGGCCCAGGCCAGCCCCTGTCCTCCAGCTGGACAAACCTGCTACATCAACTCTTAGACAGGGAAACTGTCCTTAGAATTCTTTTAGCAATAATAACAAACACAATCAGCGGATCAACAAACATTAGGAGCCTCATGTTTCCAAGTTGGAAGGGAGCTGATAAATAAACAGTCTTATCCAACACGCAGCCCAGATCTCTTCGCAGCATGCCGGCTATGAGCTCATCCTGCCTCCATTAGAACTGAGGGAGGCAGTTCTCCTTCGCCTCCTTCGCCACGCACCTACTACGTGCCAGGCACGGTGCTAGGCACTGACTGCATGGTAGGGTAGGCTCCTGGCCTGTTTCTTAGGCCACCAGCAGGGGCTTAAATCCCACCTGCCAGATGTGTGGGGCTCCACTTGCTGTCACCTGTAAAATCAGATGGCAGTCCCACAACATCACAGGGAGTAGAGAGACGTATGCTGACGTGTGGACATGTAGACAGTTAGAATAGTAACTGCCCCATCTTACAGATACTGCAGATGAGGCTCAGAAATGGGAGGTGACTGTCTCCATCCCCCCAGGCAGCGAGACGCTGGGCTTCGTCACCTCAGAGGTCTGCCTGCCCAACTGGTTGCAGGTCTGGGTCTCTGGGAGAGCCCCTCCAGTTTCTAGTGCCCAGCCCGTTTCAGCCCCACTGAATTGAGTTTCTGGGTCAGCATCTATGCTTTCAAAAAGCTTCCCGGCAGTTCCAGGACCGCTGCTCCAGGTTTGGACCCACTGACCTTAGTTTCCAGGGTCCCTGTGCTGCAGGGACATTTGCTCGATCCACACAACATTTGCTCGGTCCACGCAACCTGATGCCTGTGAAGTCTGCACCCCCAGCAGAGAGAAACCCTCTTGCTTGGGTGAGTTACCCAAGGCTCTTCCCTGGCTCATGCCTGCAGAGCAGGGGCTCCCCACCCTGTCACTGGCATTGGCAGAGGGTTGTTCACTAGGTGGCTGGCAGTGGCTGGCCCTCATGGGTCACCTGTCACCTGTGCCCAGACTTCTTAGCTCCCCTTAGCGCCAGCATCTCAGGGCCCTGTTAATCATTCACCCTGGGCCTTCTCCCTGTCTGCCACTCTCACATGCCTCCCTAGGCATGCCCTCCTGGCCTCTGGAGGGGGCACAAGTGTTGACAAGAGGAGGGAGGGGGCATGGCTTAGGGTAGTCGCCAGTTCTAGCTCAGAAACAGAATCCAGGGCTCTATACTGTCATTCAAAACAGATTCCACCTGTGCATGGTAAATATTTCAACATCCTGAAGATTCCTCCTATGCCTCCCCAACCTCCAGACCCAGTTCCGAGGCCCCCCTAATTACTGGCTTCTGTCATTGGTATATGCTGTCAGCAAAAACTCTGTGAGTACACAAATGTGTGTCTCCCTCATTTTTACAAAAAAAAATGGCACATTTTTTGTATAAAAAGGAATAGTAATTGCCCCATTTTACAGATACTGCAAATGAGGCTCAGAGAGGGGAAGTGGCCGTCTCCATCTGCCAGGCAGCAAGACGCAGGGCTTTGCAGTGAATGCCTACATATATCTCACCATCTTCTGTATCTTGCTCCCCCGACCCTTAACACTGTATCCTAGAAATGGCTCCAGATCAGGACTTGCGGAATGGTAGCTTTTCTTTTCTTTTTTCTTTTTAGTGGTTTTTTTATTTATGCTCACAGAACTGGGGTACAGGCCGGAGGTGTGGTGGGTGAGAAGATTCACCAGAAACAGACTGGAGAGCAGAATAGGCAGATCAACAAAGTACACTGCTGAGGGGAGCAGCGGGCGGGTCAGGAGAGGTCTGCCGCGCCATGTGGTCACCTCCGGGGCTGGGATCTAACTCGTGCTGCAGTGGCTTCGGAGAGCTTCATAATGCCGTGCTTAACCTGTTGCGTCACCAGGGAGAGCCCAGCTTTTTTTTTTAAAGGCTGCAGAACATGTCCATGGATGTACCACCCCTTCTAGAACCAGTTCCCTACTTGGAGACGTGCCCATTGCTGTGGTCATATCTACACATTTGGGCCTTTATCTGTGGGGTCAATTTCTAAAAGTGGGATTAACAAGTCAAAAGTCATTTGCATGCTGGCTGAATCCAGATGTCACCAAGTCGGGTTCCAAGGAGCATGTTCCAATTCTCACTGCCTAATAGAGTCTGGGGTTCCCTGGACCACACAGCATGACATCAAACATCTGTACTTTTACAGAGCCATTTTCTTAGCAATAAAATTGTATTTTGAGCAGCTCTACCAGATAGAAGCTCTACCAGTTGGAAGATCAACAGGGTCTTGGACTAGTTAGCCTCTCTCCTGGGTTCAAAAGGGGAATGACCAGTAGCCTTGCCAGAATTAAGAGGAGTAATTGTGCAGGTAGAACCAGTTTCCCTCCATGCCTCCCATTTTGGCCTTTGGCAAGGGCCGTTTTCTGAGCCTCAGTTTCCCCCATCTATGAAATGGTGCAATGGGCCCTGCTTACTCATCAAAAAGGATGGGAGCTGGATGACCAAGGAAAGGGTGTCTTATAATCACCATCTATACTCTCAGGCTGCAGTTTGGGTAGCTGGGGAACCTCACCCCCTGGCCCCCATCTCAAGCTTCCTCCTGGGGGCAGCGTGAGTCTTCTAGGCATTGTCGAGGCCCTGGCCAGTCAGTTGTCCAGCCTTACCAGGGCTCCAGGGACCTGTTCTCCCCATGGTCTGGCCTCTCCTTTCCCAGAGGAGCCACTATGGGGTGATTGCTGTGGGAATGTCTGTTACAGGGGTGCTTAGGTAATGTCTGTTATATGACCAGCTCTGTAGTCCCCAAACCTGGTGATCTGAGTTACAAGCACTCTAGAGCAGATGGTATGGCCTAGGCAAATCCAGGCTCACCTACACAAGGAGGTCAGATTAGAAGGACTAGAGACTCCTCTTACTTGGAGTTCCGGCAGCTATAGAACCATCGTGAACCCCAGTTTCTTCCTCTCGCTCTAGCTCAGTGAACCCAGGAGAGCTGTGGATTCAGAGTTCCACTGGGCCCTGGGGGTGCTGACATCAGGCAGAGCTGTGTTTGAGCCAGTGTTGAATTTCCTCAGCCAAGGAGGGGCCCATCTGGAGCCAAGGCCTTGGCGGCCACTCCCTCGTCCCTTGCTTAGGCCAGACTTGGCTGCAGGTCAAGGTTGTCCCGTGCTGTGTCAGGCGGTGGGCTGAGGTCAGTGGATATGGAAGTGTCCGGCCATTGTGGTTCTGCTGCTCTGGCAGGAAATCTAAGGAAAAGAGCTCAGGAACATCTGCTGTCTCCTGTCTCCACACAACCGCTTGGCCATAGAGAGCCCCACAGCTCTCCTGCCAAGCAGTGTGGGCTTGATGGAGGGGTGGGGACTGGAATTGGGGGGTGTAATTAGCACAGGGTGCTGAGGGACAGGCAGGGCCAGAGCCGTGACCGGGAAGGCTAGAGTCGAGCTGTTGTGGGTACTTGGTAAGGTGGGAGGGAACAGAGACCCTTCATGCCAGGTGGGGCACACATGTGTTTGGAAGTGCTCGCCTGTGCCTCCTATTTATAGCTAACGTTCCCAACTTCTTACAAAGGAAACTGGTGTTTAGTCAGCCCCACACCGACCCAGGCCAAGTCTGACTCTTAATACACTCTCCAGACAGACCTTAGTCCCAGCCCCAAAGAGAGCGCTGACATTATCCCCAGATGGTCTTCGCACCCAGTTCTAGCCCTGGCTGAGCTCTATAGAGGGCAGCGAGCCCCCTCCCTGTCTCTTCTGGGCTACCGTGGTCTGCCTGCACTTCCATTTCCTCTCCCCATCTTCTCTCCACATAGCAGTAAGAGGGCCGCCTTCACCGTCTTTGTCAGACCGGGGTCTGCTCACACCCCGCAGTGGCTGAATAAAACTGAGGCTTCCCAAAGCCCGTGGCATGCATGCCACTTCCCCTCCCTGGCTTCAGCCCTTCCAGCTTCCTCACTCTTCAGACCTGCTCCTGCCCCGGGGCCTTTGCACTAGTATTTCCCGCCATCTGGATCCCTCAACTCTGGAGGGCGGCTAGCTCTTTCTAACATCTCCTTTAGATCTTTGTTTAATCCCCTCTCATTCAGCCCTTCATGGACCATTCTGTTTAAAATCAAAAACTCCTCCCTAAGTCCCCAGTCCTTCCCTGTCTTCTGAAATCATCAATGAATGTATCAAATGTTTTCCACATTTATTTTATTTTTGTCTGTCTCCCTCCACTTCCCAAGGGCAGGGAGTTGTAAATGTGCTCACTATAGTACCCCAAGGCTTGGCTGTGGGCAGAGTGGGGTGCTCTGCTCTGTGCCTGAGGGTGGCTCCAGCAGACCAGCCCCCACCCCGGGGGCAGCCCCAGCTCAGGGCTTGGTGTGCAGGGCCAGCGCTTTGAGAAAACTGACAGGTCCTCAGTCCTTTCTGTTTGGTTTTGGAGACCGGCATCTGCCAGGCATTTGGCAGGAATGAAGGTCTTATACCCCAGAGGGTTCCAGAAAACTCCCTGCCTCCACCTCTGCCTCTGCAGAGCCTCTGTGGAGGCTTTTCCCTGTTCTTCTCTCTTGCACTAAGAAAGGAGCAGTTGACATCCTTGTAGTCTCAGGGCTCCCTCCCTGCTAGGTCCCTCCCTATTTCCAGTGTTCAGAC